TCGCTCGATAAAGGAAATCTTGAGGTATTATCAGAAAGTGACTGATTTTATTGAAAAGAAACATCCCGAAAAGGTTCACACTGGCCGTATTGCTGCTCGGAGTAATGACATTTGCCTAAGTCATTTTAGAAACATTTTAAAAAATAGGCAAAGCCAAACCTCTTTGGATAGATATTTTACCAAGCGACCTCTATCCAGTGAAAGTGCTGGTGGAAGTGAAGGAAAGAAAGCAAAAAGCAGTGAATAAAAATTTAAAAAAATATATATAAAACAACACTAATTTTTTTTTATCTTTTCTAAGTTATTTTTAAGTTATTGTTAGATTATGTTATGAAAGTTAAGTTTTAGTATCATTTTCCTTCTCCCTCTCTTCCGCCATCAGTTTACACCTCCACCGTCGTCTATCCTCGAAGGTAAAGTGCAAATAAACTACTTTTTTTTTAATCAGTTATTATTCTATTATGGTTATTTATACATTTACAACTACAAAATGCATTTTTCAGTGTTTTGCTTACTACAGTTATTATTATTTTTTAATGTACAACTTAGCTTTAATTTGAGTTTTTTTTTAGTGTTGGAACGAATTATTTGGTTTTACATGTAATCGTATGGGGAAAAATGATTCACCTTACGACATTTTCATGATACGATCTCAGTTTCGGAATGGATTAATTTCGTATCCTGAGGTACCACTGTATTGTTAAAGGAAAAATATGATGTACAGGGGGGCAAGCCACTAGTAATTTGAGGTGGAGAGTATATTTATTTAAATTAAAAATATGATTAAAAATTGCAGCTCGGCATTGTGATGATATCACAATAAATAATTGCTTGTTTAGGTTAAAAAATTCTAACCAAATTAATAAAGTGATTGTATAAATGTTTCTCACAAGAATTGCTGATGTACTAATTTAATTTCTATGAAAAGTTATATGATGGGAATTCCTATAAGACCAGTTATGCCCAGAAAACATTTTTACTGAAATTTGAACATCTGGAACAAAAAACCCTATCAGGAGAATAATAGGAATTTTCAATTCAAAAACTTATTGAATGGGGAGCGAATTCTAGGGAATCCCTGTGGTGTGACAGCTTAAAGTAAAATTAACATCTATTAAATAATTTCATTGTCAAATTGTCACTGCCACTGAAAGTTACTTTTACATGCAAAATGTATATTGAAAACTAAATTGTGCAAATTTATATTAGAATAAATTTATTTGCCATAATCCATAATTGTAAAGGATGTTTAAAATTTTGTTAAAACTAATAATTATGGCACAACTAGCAACTCTGTTGAGTAATGAAGACATCAAAAATTGCATATTAAACACAGGATGTTATTTTGTTGCCAAATAGTTTCTGCAGCAGTGTAAAGGTCTATTTACACACAACAGTGATGTGCTGGCACAGTGACCATTTCGTGACAGTGATGTTTACACACAACAGTGATGTGCTGGCACAGTGACCATTTCGTGACAGTGACGTCTGGCACAGCACAGTGATGAGTATTTACACCCAACAGTGATGTGACCGTGCTCTTGGTGAGTGGTCACGAACTTCTCTGAGAATGAATTGGCTATGATAGCTATATGTTTGGATGAAGAAGAAAAAGAAATGCAATCAAGAAAGCACCGCAAGTGGGTACAAACATGGACAAAAAAGATCAACAGAATGGGAGTTTCATACTCTTTATAAAAAATTGAGATGACGAATCTATATTTTTGAATATCCCAACATGCATTTCATATTTTAATAAACAAAACAGAGAAATATTCATTTTGTACTCAATGTCCATTTATTTCGAATGAGATAAATCAAATAGAACAGGGTGTCGACGCACCATTTCAATTAAATGTTCGTCATCTATTGGAAAATAAAATTTACTGTCAGAGAAAATATCATTCCGGTCAAATGTACTTTCACGATACAGTGACGCCACTGCATGGCACTGTGATGGACGAGTCTGGACAAAGTGGTTTGAAACTAGGTCAACAATTTCCCACCGGCAAAAAATCACTGCACTGCATGGTCACGTCACTGTTCTGTGTAAATAGACCCAAAGAGTGCTGGAAAATTGGAATATGGGAATGCATAGTTCTTGAGAAATGGTTAATTTTCTTTTGGTAAAATACTGAGAAATTTTTTGCTAAATTTGACATGTTATTAACTTTTGGCAATTTCACTAGCAGGAGGTTAATTCCTACATTTTGATTACAGAATACAGTCAATATGACAAAGATGTAATTGTATAAATGCAAATTGACAAGAAAATTTTCCTATATACTGTAATCAGGTAACATCACATTTTACACTGATTGAAACATCCAAAAAATATATCGAAGTTACATTACTGTTCTCTTAATGACAAAACCAGAGCTTTTTTAAGCCTAGGCCATTTAGTATGAGGTTTGAGAAAATCTATGATTAAAGGTAATTCAAGATAATTCTTCTTTTCCAGATCATATGTCGTGAATAATGTGTATTCCAAAACTTTGACTCTCATAACTGTTGGCAAATAATTCTTGTTTACTGCTGATAAATGTATTTTTCTAAATTTTTAATAGGACTTATGCTTTACAAAATCATATGTCATTTGTATTCATAAATGAATTGATTGTCATTTACTAGTTTTCAAAAGGTCAATGGATATTTTCATAAGAACAAACCATATTAAGAAATTTGAAACTCAGAAATTATATTTTAAATAATAATTTTTAACAAACACATGTAGCCAAGTGATTAATTACAAAGTAAAAATGCCTATTAATCTGTGAACTAACTCTCCATATATAGAGTGCATAGTAAGGTCCTTATATACCCATATAACTAATGCAGATAACTAAAGTTATGGATGTGAGGTATAATTATAATAAAGTGACCATATGCTATGAAATGACAACTTGTAGTGCCCCTAGCAATAAAATTTAGAAGTTAGCATTCCTATCTTGAAAACAATTTGATATGGAAAAAGTTAATTACAAAGTAGTATGACCAATTTAGTATGAAAGGACATCCTGTGTACATGAATAGTGTAAATAGAAAGCATGAAATGCTAATATGTACAGTACATAAAGCACAGACAGTAAAATGTGTATTTCTCATGAATTCATTCATTCATTCACATTAATTTCTTGTTTATTTATAATGCGTATTTCTCATGTCTTCATGCTGCATTCATTACTGAGAGTTGTATGTTGTGCATTGCTTACATGTCAATGTATATGGGCTTTACTATGCATCCTGTATATTCCATATTTACATGACAAATGTGAAGAACAAACAATTCATTACTTCTTAATACCTTAACCAGTGTTTTGGATCTGTAATATTATATGTATTTCTTAATCAAATAGTTTTTGATTTGTATTAACTGGATGATGAATATCATATTTTAACTAGAAAAAAACATGTGTATTTGATTATGCAGATTTAAGAGTTAGAAAATAATTTTTCACTTTTAAGTTTCATAAACATTATACCCTAAATTTTATTGTAGTTTAAAATCCAAAGATTTAGGACATAATTTTATGTGAAATTTTAAAGTTATAAATATGCATAATCAGTTATATTTTTTCTAATTAAAATGCTATTACGCAACTAACCAGTTTGTACGAATTGAAAGAACTTCATTAAGAAATACATTATCCTAGTATTACAGATCCAAAAATGTTTTAGTTTTGTTGATATATTTCACAGCAATTATGGAAAATATAGATATAGAGGTTCAGTTTTAATTTCAATATAAACAATAGTTTTGAATATATTTTAATTTAATTAATTAAAATTTATCACTTCTTAATGTTATCAATATAAGAAACCATGATTTCCTGTAAATTTCCATGAAAATTAGTGTAATTAACTCAATATAATCCAGCAGTTTTAGTTTAATTATTAAAATTTGATGTTTAACAATATCTTTAATATAAAAACAGTTTTTGATACTCAAAATTCAACAAATATTAATTTTTACATTTTTAGGTGGGGAATTATTTAAGAATGTTTCGTGGATCCTTATATAAAAGATATCCTTCTCTGTGGAGACGATTGGTCACTGTGGATGAAAGAAAGAAAATTGCCTCTCTAGGTAACAATTAAATTTTAATAAATGAATTCATTTTATATACCAGGACTGGCCAAGCTTTGTCATGTCAAAAGCTGTATATTGCCTATCAGAAATTTGAGAGCTGCTGCATTCTCTATCAAAACTGGTATTTTATATAATGGATAGTATACAGGAACCACAGTTTGGTCACCAAGATTATATATTAATGAATTGTCTAATTAAGTTACTTGATCAATAAAAGAAAATATAATGTAAAATTTAAGCAAGTTGCTAAGATTTTGTGTTCCTAAGTGTTTCTTCCACTTAAATAAATCTTACATATTGTAATTAAGCCTTTTTTTGCATATTTTTTTCAGTGTTGATGTTGCTTTTATTTTTTTTAATGTAATTTTGTTCTTATTTATCTATAAATTTCTTATATTGTTATGTTTCTTAGTTTTGTTGAAGTTACCTTACATTTGTATTATATGCTATACAATTATTTGATGTGGCAAGAAAAAACAAAATATAATTTGAAATAATACAATTTAATAATAATAAAAATCTTTAAAATAGGCAGACAATGCTTGAAGTAATCAATTGGATAGATATATTCTGTGAGATATCAAAGATCAAACTCAGATAATTGAAAATATATGATTTTTTGATATTGTGATTTTTCTCATAGTATACTCAAGGTTCTCTAACTGTACAATAACATTTTTTGTAACAAGTTTGTTAGTGAGATCGATATAATAACTTTGTTACATTGCACACAATGTGTTGGAATTTTGATGAAAACATTTTAAAATGTTAAACATGTATTCTAATCTTGTTAAATTGTAAATTATAAAGAATTAAAATTTATTATTTAACTTGATGATATCAAAAAGACACCATAACTTTAAGTAATTTTCACAAATTTTTTCAAAATCAAAACAAAAATAATGCTATTTGGTTAACTTCGATTCTGTTTCTAGTTCATAAACATAGATTTAAGTGCAAACTTATTCCAAGGAAATTAATTGAGAGTTGAAATTGTTTTATGTTTGATGAAATCTGAAGGCCAATACATAGTATATTACAAAACTGTATTAAATTATAAACTTATAACAGATTACCATTGTATTAAACTCTTTATGTGAAAACAAACAGTTTTAAGAATGTAAGTAAAATGAAAATTTAATTATTATTTAATATAATTTTTAGGTTTGGGTCCTCATAGTCTTGCAACAAATATTACTTTACTAAAAGCTACAGAAGTTGATGAAATATTTGATGGTAAAGATGAAAAATATAGAGCCGTTTCTATCAATACAGAACCTCCGTTGTCTAGGTAGAATGATTTTGAGTATAGTTTTATAATAATAATAATAAAAACAATGTTTGTATTTTTGATCATATGAATTTTTTTCTCAGAGAAACAAAAAACAAAAGAAGTACATGGCTACCAACACTTCCAAATAGTTCTCATCACTTAGATGCTGTTCCATGTTCAACAGCAATCAACAGAAATAGAATAAGCCACAAAAAAGTTCGAACATTTCCCCTGTTGTAAGTAACATTTTAAATGTCAGTTATTGATGGTGATATATTTATACATATAAAGTATAGATTTATTATTTACTTATTTGAAAATAATAGAAGAAAAACCTAATTTATTGTTTAGAAATAATTTTAACTACAATTAAAATACAGTATAAGTCAAGATATTATGCATTATTTATAAAATAAAATTGATTTATGAATATGTTAATTATAATTTACATATTCATACAATATTTCTTAATTAAAATTTATAAAGTTTTTAAAAGATCTGCAGTTGGAAACACTATTTTATCTGTCAGAAGATGAATTATAGTTCTGTTTTTATATCATTATTTCCAATTCTATTTTTGGCTAAGTTGAAGTCAAATTTTATCTAGATGATGATATATTTATAGAAACAATACTTATGTCATAAAATGGTACAAGATTTTTAAAAAAATTTAATTTTTAAATGTAAGAACAATTTCTTCCATAGAAGTGTTTGAGTATTCTTTCAAAGTAACCAAATTATATTAGAGTTAGCAGTATTTTATCATATCATTATGTGAAGAATCTCATACAGTATAACATTACTTGCTTGCTAGAGGCATTTAGCACATAGTTCAGTTTATTTGAAACTTCCAAAATAAAAAATGCTTTAATTAAGAACACAACCAATTGCAAAGTGACACTTTTGGTATGTTATTTGGACTCATCTTTGAAAAAAAGATTTTTTTTCTAAGTAATTTGAAACTTGAAAATCTTTGCTAACTCTTATGCTGACATTTACTGTTGATTTGCCAATTTCTTTTTTTCTTTTTTTATAAAATAACAAATCATGTTTATGGAGACACATTCCATTATATGATTACAATGAAATATATCTCTGTAAAGATAATTTTTAATAATTTTGATTTCAATTTTACAAACAGCATTACCAAAAGAATTTATAATTTTACAGAAAGGGAAAATGTATTCTGGGTAATTATTTTTCAATATATCTTATACTTTAGAATGTAGCATTTAGAAATGCTGTGTGAAGAAATCATAAACACTTTAACATGTTTTCAATTGATATTTAAATTAAATCAGTTACAAGGCAATCACATGATTTATTTTGAAAGAGATTTGTACCTACTGAAATAGACTATTAAAATGAAAATTTTAATTTATAAGTTTTGTTGTAAGGAAGTAAAATTATAAATAAATTGAAATTTTGAAACACAATTAAGATTAATGCCAAATCTGCATGTGATACATTGAATCATTTTCATCTGGTTGAAATTTCATAAATTGAAAATAATTGCTCTTACAAAGAGTGTTTTATTTATTTATGAAAAAAACTGTTACAAATGGATTGCTCCCTGTTCAATTTTGAGATCTCATGTAAATTTTTAAAGATCATTCATATATGAAATTCATTATTGATGTATTTTAACTTATGAACAATTTTCTTTTGCTTTTTAAATTATTGAATTCAGGAAAAGCATGAAATAAAACTTTTAAGTTTTATCTGTACGGAGGTAGTTCCAGAAGTACTCGACCTAACAAAGAAGAAACAAAAAATTTTGGAAAACATATCTTTATACTCTTTTCGAACTACACTCTCAAAAATAACTACACTTTACCAACCTTTAACATGCAGTCTATTTTATTAACGTAATTAACATTTTTGGTCAATTAATCAGGATCAAACAAATTTTTGATTTATGATGAACAAAACCTATTATAGAACATTTTTAACTTTATAAGTTTTCTCAATGCCTATTGCGCAAGTCTGATAAAAGATAAATAGAATCTACCAACTGAAAATGTACAAATATATGCATACACTAACTATATACATAAAAATAAAAGTAAAAATAATAATAATAGTAATAAATAGATAAATAAACAAGTGATGATAGGCATTAGTTGGTGCTCTTTATATCATCACTTGTTTATTTATCTATTTCTTTATTATTATTTTTATTTTTATGTGTATAGTTAGTGTATGCATATATTCAGTGCTGATATTTGAAATATTTAACAAAGGGTTTGCTAACAAAATTTTTCCTTAACAATTTTTTTTTTTCACTCAAATGGTGCATTAGCAACATTAGCGCAAAAACTGACCTTAAGATATCTATATAAATAAAAAAGATGCGTTCGCAAAATTAATTAAGTCAGTTAAAATTTAACATTGTTTATGCCAGAACTATATTTTTTTATAAATAATAAAAAAGTGTGTTCAAAATGGTTTATTTTGTACATATTTTAATATTTTTCATTCAAAATATTTTATAAACATAAAAATTGGCATTTTTTTAATCAGAAAAAGTCATAGGGAAAGCAGTTAAACAAGAAAAACTTTTCTAAATCATTTATTTTATCGTTAGGTATTATTATAATAATAGACAGATGTCATCGTCTCTCGAAATACAATATCTTTCTTATTTCGCTGTTGATAGCCCGACACGTGCTCCGCAGCCATCTTGTATTTTCTCGCGCGCGTGGGATTGTGGGATCTCTCTTATGACTGGATCTAGTTTCGAGAACTCTCTCGAGTCGATCGCGATTGAACCTCGTTTTAGTCGAGATTGAAACGGTCGATGGAGGTTGCACTAGGCGAACAGGGTATAAGGCTCTAGTTTAGTAGTGTTACAGAGTATAATACGTATATTTTAATATATTTTTTAAAAGAAACAAAATCACTGAGAAATGTTATGTGCGTTTAACAACGGGTTCGGGAAACTTTGAAAATGTTAACAACGGGTTCAGCCGAACCTGTGCGAACCCGCTGAATATAACCACTGCATATATTTGTACATTTTCAGTCGGTAGATTTCTATTTATCTTTTCTCGAACTTGAGCAACAGGCGTTAAGAAAACTTTTAAAGTTAAAAATGTTCTATAATTGGTTTTGTTCATCATAAATTAAAAAATTGTTTGATCCTGATGAAGGTCAATTAATTGACTGAAAATGTTAGATTATGTTAATAAAATAGACTGCATGTTAAAGGTTGGTAAAGTGTAGTTACATATCTTTATTTCTCAACATAGTCTCCTTTTAGCTCGATGCACTTTTCCCAGTGATGTTCAATAGCTTCGATACCCTGTTTATAGTGAGAGCCGTCGAGCTTCTCAAAATAGCCATCAACCGCAGACTCCACCTATTCATTGTTGGCAAATCTTTTCCCACCGAGCCATTTTTTCAATGTAGAAGGTATGGTTGCTGTATGTTCAAATTCTGTGTGTAGCATCTTTGCAATCCAAACAATAATTTTGGTAGATAATCAAACATTTAGTTAGAAAGCGTTACGGTTTATTTAAAACACTTTTTTAATTCAGATGCATTTTGGGTTGACTTGTATTCCCAACCCCTCTTCAGTGCTGTTAAAAATGACAAAAAACAATGTGAGTTTCACGACATTGGTAAGTAAGACGTAACAAAAACGAGGGGTGACAATAACGTAAAAACCTTACATGTTATATAATGGTACAGCATAGACATGTGTGACAATATTTTCATTACATAGTTGTATGACTATTTTCTATAATATGAAAAAAGTAAAGGGCATGGCTGTATAACACATCATTTATATAAAAATTATAACATAGATTATTAATTTCAAAATATCTATAAGCACTTACATTTTTAGTTAATATGTATTATTCCCGATAAAAAATGGAACAGGGTAAAAATTGACAACTGGTGTNATTTACATTTTTAGTTAAAATGTATTATTCCCGATAAAAAATGGAACAGAGTACAAATTGACAACTGGTGTTATCTGGTGTTCACAGAGTAACAGTATACCGACAAGTAATGTTATTTAAACCATTCCTAACATAGATTATTAATTTCAAAATATCTATAAGCACTTACATTTTTAGTTAATATGTATTATTCCCGATAAAAAATGGAACAGGGTAAAAATTGACAACTGGTGTTATCTGGTGTTCACAGAGTAACAGTATACCGACAAGTAATGTTATTTAAACCATTCCTAACATTCTGTACAAGGGGGTGTGCTTTTAAACAATCTTTAACGCGTGGAGGCGCTCTCTATTAGTTTATACCAGTATTTCTCAACGGGGGCGATATCGCCCCCATGTGGGCGTTTTTCCATGTTGAGGGGGCAATTTGTAACAATTTATATTTTGGGGGCGAAAAACAAATTTTCTGGGCGATATAGTAAAACATTATATTAAGAATAATTAGATATTTTAGTCATTATATTGTGCAATAATTAAACAAATAACATTATATTAGTCAATAGTCTATTCAATGCAGTACGAATTTGGTGTTAGCCTTGGCCCTCAGCATTGGAATTTTGAAGTGAAGGGGGCGATACTACGTATCGGTTTTATTGAAGGGAGCGATACTACGTTGAAGGAGGCGACGATTCATTAGAGGTTGTGAGAAACACTGGTTTATACCATTGGGGGTCTATTGACATGACTTCTGAAATATTATTTAAGTTATCTTTAGGGTGTTTTTTGATTTACATGTGTTCTTTAAATTTCCTTTTATATGGGTCTTTTTCTAAATGTAACACTTTTATATTGTTTTTATTAATTTGGCAATTATTGTCACTTGTGTGGAAGTACCAGGGGGAAGTTATGTTTTAGGCGGATGGCAGCTTTATGTTCTTTAATTCTTGTTTCTAGTGGCCGACCTATTTCACCGATGTAAGTTTTCGGGTTTTGACAGTTGCATTCAAGTTTGTAAATAGTTCCTACAGTTTTAAGAATGTTTAGTTTGTTGTTATGTTGTTTATTAATGTCATAATGGATACTATGAGATATTTTGTTGGTCAAAGATGGTGCCAAACTGATATTGTCTTTTTTTTTTATGATCATATTACAGCCTTCGAAGATTTTTTTTATATATGGTAAGGCTTTGTATTTTTTGTTTAATTTATATTTCATATTAAATCTATTTTCCCAGTATTGTTTTTGCCATGTGTTTAATTTCGATTTAGGATAGTCGTTAAGTAAAAATTTATTTTCTAACTCTTTTATTTTAATTTTTTGCCATTTAT